CACCGGGCGGCCTAGAAAAAACCTCGTCCCTAAGGGCTTTCAGCGTATTTTTCGATGCGTTTTTCTCGATGAAGGAATTTTTTTTGAATTTTTTCTTTATTTTTATGTCAATCTACATGCATTTCTGCACATTTTGATGCAATAGAAAATTTCACCGTACACCACCTTTAAAATTTCAGAAAGTGTCTGTCGGAACTGAAAACCACCGCTGAAATTCGTGAATTGGTTCCAGAAAATGCTCATGATTTCGGGCCAGATGTCTGGAAGGAGCTATTCTTGAAGGCGACCTCTCCTCAATAATTGATTGATTTTTGTGTCTTTTTTTCCGATTTTTACTGAAATTTGTTGATTTTGTTGTTGTGTCTATTTACAGACTGTCCCCAGCTCCCAATATGAACTGCAAGCCTTTTTCTCAGCGGAGCACGGTTGCGCGCGGCGAGAATTTTTATTTTTTAAATTTTGTACTGGAAAAACCGGTTTTTAGCGAAATTTTCTTATTTTTTTGCCAATTTTTAAAATTTTTCGTCCATAGGAATTGTTAAACCGGCTAAAACACACATTTTAAGTACAAAAGCAGCAAGTTCCGACAAAAAATGAAAGAGGAGATTGATTTTTAAGCTATTTTCTAAAAATCGCAATATCTTGTTTGACCGGTAGAGCATTTCGGCGGATAATAGTTCGAAACACAAATTGGAAAAAAAACACACAAAAATCAATCAATTATTGAGGAGAGGTCGCCTTCAAGAATAGCTCCTTCCAGACATCTGGCCCGAAATCATGAGCATTTTCTGGAACCAATTCACGAATTTCAGCGGTGGTTTTCAGTTCCGACAGACACTTTTTCTGAAATTTTAAAACATTTTTTTGATTAAAACTATAGATTTTCGCTATCACCTTCAAAGCATCCAGTTTGTATCTCACTGCCAATGTAAATATGATTTTCATCGAATCTTTCGATTTTTCCAATAAAAATTTCTCGCATCTTCTGATTGCAGTTTTCGCATCGTACATATCTGTCATTTTCAGAATCCCCTCTATATCCCCTCTATAATCATCAATTGCAGATTCTCCATATAGAACTTCTAGAAACTTCTGTAAATCCTCCGGATCGATATTCTTCAGTTCGATTATCGATTTTTCAGATTCAGAGAGCTTTCCAAGTAATAGAGTTTTGAAATAAGACGAGTGATGAGCAAGGTACATTCTGTTCACATAGAATTTTCGATCTCCAGCAATCAAAATGACATCCGAAAGCTTATTTTTTCCGAAATCGAGATGCTCGCGATAACGAATCCCCATCGATTTATTGATTTTCACCACCAATGCCACTAATTTTCATCGATCAGATATTTATCCAGATCATTTTTTTCCATTTCGAATACTATCTTTGTCAAATTGGATGAGGCGAATTTGATGGTTTTTTCTTTCAGTTTTACATCTTTTTCATTGCCCAATCTCAATTCGATGTCAACTTCCACAAACCACGAGTTGAGCTTTTCGGAATGAAGACACTCTAGATAGAGAGTGTTCCCATAGAGGACATGCAACTTCCTGAGAACATTTTTAAGCAATTTATTAATTCGCAAAATACACAAATAATCGTACCAAGGGATTCCAAAGGGCTCTTTGATATCTCCAGAAGATGTCAGGCCCGCATTTTTATGGTTTTAAAAACCTCCTTCAGCACAAACTTCTTCTCTCCGGCAAATGACATTTTATCGATTTTGGAGAGATTCAACTAAAAAATCAATAAGTATGCTGAAAATCAGAGAAAAAATGACAAAAAAAATGCGAAAATCCGTGCAAAAATATTTCAAAAACCAATTTCCTCACCAATCGCTGCGAGACAACTAAAAAAGATTTTGTGCGTGCGCCTTTGACTACTGTACTTGAAAATTGTTGATTTTTTCGGGTTTTAGTGAATTTCAGAGACCGTACAAATTGGGGCAAGAATTGAAATCCGCAAGAAACGAATCGGCAAGAACGCTAAACCGTGCCACAGGAANGGAAATGAAGCGAAAATCACAATAGGCTTTAAAATGGGAAAATACTAGAGTTTTCGCTGGAAAATATGTAATTTACGACGAAAATTTGGAATTTATTTAATTTTTTGGTTAAAAATGCATGAAAAACGAAGAAAATCGGTTGAAAATGAGGGAAAATCGAGGGAAATCGGCTTTGTGGGTTACTGTAGAAATTTAAAGGCGCATGCTTAAAAATGCTTCAATTTTTCGAAATTTGTCGAAAATTGCTTGAAAAAAAGAGAATTTCTAGCTTTTACGGATTTTTCAAGTTAATTCAATGTCGATTTGTTTTTTCTTTGCAAAAGAAAAAACAGATGCGAATCCATTTTTAAAAATTATGAATGTTCCTGTAAGAGGACTACTGTACTTTGATTACGAAATTTTTGCTCATTCTAAATTCAACTTTCCGTGCTTATTTTGCTCGCTGAAAATACCCAAATATCCACGTCTACATTGCAAACGCGCGATGCAAGTATTCGAATTTTTTATCTACAGTATTTCTAAGAACTGCGCGTTGGGCTCACATACCGTAAATACTATGTTAGATAGCCATGGCACTCTA